ACACAGGCCTGCAAATTTAAACTTCATAAAATTAGTTTTTGTTTTTATAACAGATTTTCCATAATTCAGCTATGCAGGTTTTGAATATAATATTCTTATTTTTTTTATCACGTAAGGATTTTTTACAATCGGGAAGAAAAAACTCTTACTTAGATCAAATTATTATTTCGTTTACCACAATGAACATTTTTTATTATTATGTTTGTTAACAAAAATACAAACTGAAGAAAGGGGAAGAACATTGATGTTAAACGAATATACATCCTCATTCATCCAGATTTTTGTGTGTGAAATCTACGTCTTATAGTCTCAAAACTACGTGTTGTGGTCTTTTATGTATTGCGTTTGGAGCATCTCGTTTTAATGACCAGCAGTAACTAGCCATCATGCTGATGCTCCACCTTTCTGATACGTCCTCTCCATTTCCCTGATGTCTTGATGAAACCTTTCCCCTTGTTCTTAGCTGCGAGATTTTCAGGGAAATAGTCAATATGTGAATGTAAGAAATGAACTTTCAAGCTCATATTACAACCCAACTCTTTGAATTTATCGAGCATGTTATTGACAATATTTTCGTAATTTGGGTCCTTGTTGTTTCCTAAAAAACTTGTCAATAACATCTTTAAAGGCAATCCACGCTTATTTTTCAACTTTCATCATTGTCGTTTCGAACTGTTCATCCGAAGTCAATTTCTTAATCTGATGCCCAACAAAAATCTCTTCTTTAAGTTTTGCTTCTGAAAGAGCTGGGAATTGCCAACATAGATACTTGAAACAGTCGCTAGCTTTGTCTAAGACCTATACAAACTGCTTCATCAAGCCCAATTTTATGTATAGTGTCAACCAAACTTTCACGTTCAATGTTTTTCGATCCCTGGTATCAGGCTGACTCTGCGTGGCCATTGCTTCTTTATACTGTGCTGATTTCGTGCTCTGCTGTCCCATTCACACAGAAAACATAGAAACTTTGTATAACCGGATTGTTGACCCAACAATATACAAAGGACTTTTAAGTCTCCACAAAGTAGCCAACCATGTTCTTTGTATTGGACCTTATTAAGAAACATTTCTAGATTTTCGTACGTTTCCTTCAAGTGAACCGAATGAGCAATACGAACAGATGAATATATGTTACCATTGTGAAGGAGAACACCTTTTAGACTTCTTTTGGAGGAATCAATGAACAGTTGCCACTTTCTTGGTTCATAGACTGCAGCTCCTAACATTCAGCAATATTGTTGCAATAAACCAGTGAACCTTCTTGCAAAAGGTATGACATAAACTCTTTCTCATGATTTCTGTACCAGTAAAATGATGTCCTTGGAGATAGTAAGTTCTTAGCCCGAAATCTGGACCCCAAAATATCTGAAAAATCCTTTGGAAGGCCCAAATTTCTCACCAAATC